TTAAGTTGGCAAGAAAAACAAAATATAAAAACAAAATTAAATGGATCATAAACTTAAATTTTAAGCTCTTGAATTAAAATATGGCTTGCTTCAATATCCATTACTTATTTGTTTTCGTTCCCCATGCCCAACATGATAAAATAATACATGAAAAGGGTTTGGATATATACTACACGTGTTGTATTCATCAGTATTCACTCAATAGCCAATAGTTACGTTATAATCAAAATCATAAAAACACAATAAAAATACAATAATAAAACATTATATGATGGCCCAAACACAAAAAAAAATACTATACGTTATTATCACGTAGATGATGAGGACAAGACAAAATATACTTGTAGTTATCGTAAATAATTTTTTTTGAAACATCAATTTGCCTGATTAGAAAATTATATACTTGGCTGCTCTACTAAACATTGTGTTTTACGTATCTCACTAATGAATCTTTATTTTAATCCTATGGAATATCATGTGTCTCAGCTTTTAAGTTAAGATGAAGGCCATCAATATTAATTTATGTACTAAAGCGTCAATAAAATCAACTTGTGTAAAATCAATTAAAAAACGCTGTGAAATTTGTATTCTGTTAGTAAATATAAGGAGAATTTTTTAAAAAAAAAATAAATTTGTCACTATTACCATATTCATAAATTTTTATTAATTATTAAAAATCATTTTATTTAAAAATTAATTCTGTGTGCAATAATTAAAACATGATCTTCACTCTAAATGCTCTAATATTAGAAGGTTAAATAAAGGAGTTCATCATTTGGAATCTTGTTTCCTTCAGTGAAAGAACTATAGAATGCAATTAATTAATTCTGAATATTATCTCAGTTATACGTTGTTGTCCTACAGTCTAATAATAGAATAATGCAACCATCCATTCACTCTAACATATAGTCTCCTCTATGTTTTCAAATTTTAATTCTTATAAAATCTGCCAGCTTGTTTAATTAACGAAACAAAGTTACTATAAGTATATTTGCTTTCTCGGTCGATCTAGCTTGGCATGGTTAATTAAGATTTTCATGGACAATTAGACGCAAATATCTAAAATATTAATCAATAAGTTCCTAAAATAGAATTATTAGTGAAGGGATATTTTGGAGAAAACTGGAGCAAGAGATCAAAACAAGAAGTTTATAAGATATGCCTATTAATTAAACATCTTAACCAAAGTCTCCATGTGTGTGGCCTAGAAGACAATAAAAATTGGTCCAATTGGTAAAAAATACTAAGTAACAATCATGATTTACAAATTAAAAAATGAGGTAAGTACGTATATGAAGGAGTTTTAATTTGCCTTTGTTTACATGAAAGTACTTACTTAACATATAAGCAAATACAAAAAAGCCTTTTGAGTTTAAAAATTATGCATATAAATGAGTTCGATGCCATATATTAATTTAAAATCTTAAAACATTAATTTTATGAATATATACATTTTTCCCCCAAAACCCTATTTAATTAATCTATGAGATCTCTCTACTTTTCCCATTTCAAAGTATAATTCAAGAAATTCAAACATAATTTCCTAGAACATATGGGAGATTACAATCGAAATAATTTATATCTGTTGTGGATGTCTTGCCCGTGTGAATGCGTATTTCAGCTGCCGGCATGTGTGTGTGTGTGTGTGTGAAAAAGTAAAGGAAATATATATATATATATATAAAATAAGAATTTGCTGGAGAGCAAATGAGGGCATATTATCCTACTTTTACGAGGTCAACGATGAAAAAAAAAGAGAGGAAGATTTTAATAATGTCCTTTCATTGTGCATAGAGACCCCATCCTTATCTGTGAGACGCAACAAGAGTAAGGAATATTTCAAACTCATATCTATATTAATTTCGATGTTTTTTCAATAATATGTTTTGAAAATGATAGGTATAAGGATCCTATTCAACTATATATGTGTGTGCGCGCTTAAACGACCTTAAAACCATTGACAGACATACTAAGGTAGTTCGTTATCAGTGGTTTTTTATAAGCACACACATTTAGTCGATAATTATCTTTAAGATTTAGGAAAATAAGCATATATTTTCTTTTAAATTTTCACCACATATAATATATATCTCTACATACAAGGAATCATTATATATAAAAAAAAATATCGGGTGTAATTAATGTAATTAATTATAGAACTTTTGTTGTTTAGAGTGACCAAAAGGTGAAGTTATTTCTGTTTGGAAAGATTTGATACTTACGCAATCATAAACTATACTTCTTCGGTTTTAAATAAAAAACTCACTTTCTAATATAATTTATATTACAAAGTAAGAAACATAATTATTTATTATAAAATCCTAAGTAAGAAACATATTTATTAAAAAATTTCAATAATAATAAAGCATATAGTAATGAGAATAGAGCAGACTGTAATGACAAGTTTCAAAATAATAAATAATCATAAATCACTTATTATTGGGATTTATTAGTAATTTTCTTAATTTTTATTAACAAACATATTTCATATATGACACGTCTCATGTCCACTAACTACTAGGCCAGAACAAAACAGCGTTATAATTAGTAGCTAAAAGAGACATGCCATATGCCATCTCCTTCAAAATGAAGCATATTGGATTATACATGAAAGACAATTATGATTATGAATTAAGGTTATTATTATTAATAATAATTTAGGTGGCCACTCTGCATATACATTTAGATTATCAGTTTATAATGATTGCCCTGTCCTACCTACTAATTGCTAATCTTGCCTACTGATTTTTGTTAGATTACGTTCATGTGTATTATAATGTATTCCATATTTATTTTTGTATCATTATTGTACATTTTACTAAAAAGCACATATATCATTATTGTTACTCAACCTAAATTCGTATATCCGATTATCATGTGAACATGTGCGGCTGATCATTGAACATTGGGAACCTTTTTTTTTTTGGTTTAACTATAAAGTTCAATTCAATTTCTTCCCCGTATGATTGATAATGAATATTTAGTTTAATGGCAAAATTTGATAATAAGTATTACTGCAATTCAAAGTATTATATATCAAATGTCACACAAAAAATGTATTATATATCAAATTAAGTCACATTTCTAAGATCAAAGTATTAAACATTCATCTCATCTCTATTACAAGACACATCCAACCATCTTACTAGAACTAAAGAGAGGTAATCAAGTCACTAAAGTTATCTAAAAACAAAAAACATTAAATTTTCTCATATTTAATACCAGGAAAGACGTAGGAATTTAATTAATTAAGATATTAAATAAGGGTAGTCTTAGAAAAATGTGATTAATATCCTACTTACTGATTTATAATAATAATTTTTTAAAAATGTCTTATAATAAGGATGGGAGTAGTGTTTAATTTTTTGTAATTAATTAGTGGAGGTATAAGATCACATTATCTTACTGATACATGCTAAGTATCTTTTTTTTTTTTGCTGTTAAAATTAGCACAAATTGAAAATTTGCTTGAATAAAGATAGACATATTACAATTTAATTATTTTATTTCTCATTATTTTGTCTTTTCCCCCACAGAATACAATGTATAATTAAAAAAAGTAAAACAAAAAAAAGAGTTTAAACAATGAATGAGATTTTTCAATTAATTTTTATCTTTCTTAAATAATTGAATTTATCTATTTATTTTTAAAATTAAGAAAACCTAGATATTTGTTTAGATTAGATGATTGATAAAAAAATATGTAAGAAAATTAAGCTCGTCATTAGAAGTTATATCATGTTTAAAAATGATGGTCGGATAAACATGAGGATTGTTAATTAAAAAGGGGTGAATTATTCGCATTTCAAGCAATGAAGACTCCGTAATGATCACTTCCATGGGAAGCAAAATTAATGTAATAAAAAAATTCAAAAACCACTCATTTTGTGAAAACCTCAAAATTACCCATGGACATGTCTGAGAAGAGAATAATTTTTTGTCCTGTAACATTGAAATAATTCAGATTATTATGATTCATATATTGACAAGTAGATAAGTTTTATTGAAAGTCAATATAAAATTTAAGAAATTCATAAACATTAACTTTCTATAATATTCAACAAATGGGTCATTCAACTAGTGGAGCCAGTAATTTAAGGATTAATTAGTAGTTTAAATTAGGGTCAATTCAAAATCAATTTGATCATGATTTAAATGATATAATCCAATTAAAATATATAAAAATATTTATATAATACTAAAAATACTAATATTTAAATAAAAAGATATTAATGGACAAGTAAATAAAACATTTATGTATAAAACTGCACAGAATTCAACAAATTTATTAAACCACAAGTATAATGGACTGAAATTTAAGAGAAAAAAATCAAAACAATATTGTTCAGTTCCAATAGGGAGAGAATATAAAATTTAATTTGATTAGCCTATTCAAACCTCACAATCAAACTGATTAAGAAACTAGCTTATCGATTTACTAGTCAGCCTAGACGAGGTAGGCTTTGATATGATGCCCCAGTTTTGAGTAATCTAAAATTGAGACTGTATGAGTGCAAGTTCTGATGATTTTCTTCATACAATTAAAAAAAAATTAAATCAAGTCAAAGATCTTGTAACTTAATAGTATTAACACTCTTTTATAAATAGGTAGATGCTGGTTCAATTTCGTTTATAATTTCAGATTGTTAGTGCCTGTCTTTTTAATTTAAAAAGAAAAGTTTAAATCGGGACTTTACTTTTAAAATATATTATTATTTATTTATTTTTTTGACCAGCAATATTATAATTTATTTTGCAATCTACAAACAACAAGCAAATTATGTGATTAATTAAAAAACTCTATTAATGAAAACCACGTGTGGGCCCATTTGTAGATTGATGGAGGAGAAGGCCGCAAATAATGGGCCTATATAAATCTTGGCTTCCCCTCCCTCGCTTCAGTCATCTCTGTTCTGTTTCCACAGAGTCTTCACTTACACGTCTTGCCCTCTCAAACTCTCCGAAACTTTCTTCTTCCTTCACCACCAGCCAAATCCAATCATGGCTCGACCCCAACAACGCTATCGAGGTGTCCGCCAGAGGCATTGGGGCTCCTGGGTCTCCGAAATCCGCCACCCTCTTCTGTAATTCCCTCTCTCCTAAAAAGTTCTTTTCTCTCTCTCTCTCTCTCTCTCTCTCTGATTGCTCTGTTTTTTTTTTTTTCCGGTAACAATTCAAAAACTGATGAACCGTTTCTTGTGGGATACAGGAAGACAAGAATATGGCTGGGGACGTTCGAAACTGCGGAAGATGCAGCTAGAGCGTACGACGAAGCAGCGAGGCTTATGTGTGGAACAAAGGCAAGAACTAATTTTCCGTTTAATCCCAATGAGCCACAGTCGTCTTCTTCCAAGTATCTCTCTGCAACTTTGACGGCGAAGCTTCACAAATGCCACATGGCTTCGCTCTCACTTCAAATGGCCAATAAGCAGAAACAGCCACAGCAACAAGAACCACCTCAGAGGCCTAACTATAACCACCATAGCTACCCATGTGCCTCCAGCAATGGCATTGGCGGAACGAGTTCCGACGCGGGATTCCGGTGGCCGGAGATGAGACCTGAGGAATCCCAATGGGTGGTAGAAGGCCAGGGAGAAGAAGTTGGGCCAGTACTTGAAGATGATCACATAGAGCAAATGATTCAGGAGTTGCTTCATTATGGCTCCGTCGAGCTCTGCTCTCTTGGCTCAGCCTAGCCTAGCCTCCAAAATTATGCTTTTTCCTTCTTCCAAGACATTAAATTTAGGTATAATCATTTGAAGGGGTTGCCATCAGTTCTCCAAAAGAACAAAAAAATTAAAAAGGAAAAATTGCAAAAAAAGACCTTAGAATTGCAAAAACGCAGATAGGGACCCTTGACAACTTCACTTTGAGTTTTGACAACTTCAGGGCATATTATTCTTGTCAAAACCCAAAGTGAAGTTGTAAAGGGTCCCTATCTGCGTTTTTGCAATTCCAAAGTCTTTTTTTGCAATTTCTCCAATTAAAAAAGCATAATGTATAAACAAAATTATTTATAAATCCAATAACATGATCTTGAGCCATTAAAAAAAAAAATCCCTTCTTGTATTGGAGAGACCGATCACAACCACTTCAAACTATGCCTAAATTTTGTTAGTCTCAAAGCTCATTAGCCATATATATAAAACCTCTCTTCACCATATATATATGTAATAAGACCTGAGTCTATTTTGTTACTTCCTTAGTCACTTGATAAATCTAATATTTAGTAGAGAACCCAAGTCATGCATTATGAAGATGATGAGTTGTAATATAAGTTTATCGGCATATAAAGATTATATATTTTGTTCAGCTTCCACACTCTTGTTTGTTTATACACTGATAAAAATGGGCCTCCTTGTCATGTCAGCTTATTGTGTCTTGTCAATTACTTGATCAAGAAGAGAATACAGGGGGAAGAAGAAACTGGACGCTTGAATCTGACAGATTTTGACTGATATGGAGCTAAACGATGAAGAAGAATGAATTATTGGGGAAAAATTTTGGCAGTAGTAGGTAGTACGTGGAATCGCGAGGCCAATGAATGGAAACAGAAAGAAGAAATAGTTTGAAAAAGATGAAAGAAAGATAAAAAACAGTGTTCACACTAAGTGACAAGGAAGGAAGGTGCACATAAATATGACAAAAGTGGAAACAGTATTTGGAGCTGATCATTATGTTATATCAAGCGTTGCTTCTTCAACAAATAAACATTCTCATTGCTTTCTCACTAACTTTTTTTTCCCCCGCTTTCCTTCCAATTTTCCTAGTTGATAACAGACCAGACGATCGACCCTTTATATTTTAAGTTATCTTTAGAATTATTCTTCTTCCATCCTCAATCGTCTCGATCTCTCTTTATTTTTATGGGGGGAACTGTTGACCCACATTACTCTTTTCTGCTCACTAACCACAAGACAAATCCCATTCACAATCCACGTACCACTCTCCTTTTTGTATGGAGATTTCATCATGTGTTGGATATTATCTCCCTTCTCTGTCATTTTCCCCTTCAACACAACGACAGTAAAGTAATTAAATTTCAGCTTCTTTTTGAAAAACGATATGAGAGAGAGAGAGGCAAGTGGCTAAACTTGTGTAAAGCTCATCACATGGTGGAGAATGAAAATGTTGTGTCTATCTCTCTCAGATCTCTTTGCTTTCTTCTCCTCCTCCTCCTCCGATCAGACTTTTCAGAACTAAGATTGAAAAGAAGGGGGGAAATGGTGAGTGTTGTGGGGGGTGGCTTTTGGAAAATGCAATAGTTTAAGAGGGTAACAAGTGACAACTTTAATGATGTGCATGGAGGTTGTCGTGCATGCTTAGAATCAAGACCTTGTTTTTGTTTTCCAACACAGTGGACCCCATGTGTCTCTTTGGCTTCTGCAGTCATTCCCAAGTCTTGTATCACTCATTTGCTCACAGTAAACGCGTCCACACACAAAAACACACAGGCCAATCACCCTCACAATTAACCCAAGTCTCATAACATTTTTACCTGGCAAACTTTTGTACCTAATATTGTTGATATTAAGTTTGCGTAAGTTATACTTAGTTTTCAGGTTAAGGCTATGAAAAAAAAGTAACAATGATTGTTAACCACATGAGATTATAAGTGAAATCGAACAGATAATCTCTTACATAAAAACTTTCGTATCACCGAGTTATAAAGTTATTGAGAGAGGTTTGTGATTCTGTATCTATGTGTCAATGAGTAAGAATTTGTTTTCAAGTGGTGATAACAATGAGTGCTGTATATCATGGTACTTTTTTTTTTTTTGGCCTCAATGATTTCGTGTTACCCTATTGGTTTTAATGTTGAAAAAAGTTTCCTTCAGAAAAGTGTGGGCGGGACAATATATATATATGTATATATATAAGTTGCACTATTTTAGGTTCATGCTTAATGATTGTTTATCTATGTATGAGGATTGATTTTGTTCCCCACAACCAATAAAAGAACAAATTTGATAAGCCTAATGACATGACCATGAGAAGCATATATTCAGAGTAGTTGCATAATCTCTTTGATGGCATGCCTTTGCCTTAACCATCCCCATGATCAATTTGCATATAAAGCACTTTTTAGTAACGAGTCCTCTGAAAAAAGGCATGAAGATACTGAAAAGAAGAAACAAATTGGTCACCAATTTATCTAAAAATTTGATCATTCATAAAGTACAATAGTGTTTTACGATTCATATGTGATTGATTCTATTTTGTAAAATAAAATTCATTGTTGTTGTCGTTTGTCTATAAATCTTATAATGACTCATTTTTTTACCAAAAGATGCAACAGAGACATTCTGAAGGCAATAAATTCTCTTATTTTAAAGAAAATTACGTACATATGGTAGCAAAACAAACCACAAGGCTCTCTGATTTTCAAGTGAGAGGAACCAATTCGAACAAGTTCAGCAGTATACTTTGGGAAAAGTGACTTATGAATTCCTTCAAATCTGGAGTTTTTTTCTTTTGGTTCATGATTAACGCTGGTTTAAAAGATAGAGTCAAAAGCTGATTATTACACTATCCACATGGGATTGACCCAATAATATCAAAAAATTTAGAGGCTTGTCGTTTTTATTAAGAGCGCAAAACACATACACTGTCCACTGCAGATATTGGATCGAACCACACAAGACAGGTTCATGTTTGCCAAGGACAAAATTTTTTTGTCACTATTCTTAAGTGCAGAAACGTTCCAGGCACTCGAAGTGTTTCAGGAGACAAACACTTTCAGACACACATGGGAACCCACGTTATCCAAGCAGGAAGATCTCAATTTCACATGGCTTCATATGTTGTGGAGAACCGCATTTATCTCTCTCTCTCTATATATATACATATATATGTAATCTGATAGCAACACGTTTTTGTTTGTGTTCTTGGTCTGTTTCATATGTTAAGGTTGTGTCATGAAATGGACAAGGATTATTATTATTATACAGTGTATCCTGCCCTCCTGAAAGAATCACGTCCTAAGTATGTTTGCTTCCCACTGTTGGAAAATTGATATATAAAAGAAATTAATCAAACCCATATGTGTGTGTATCCACATACATTGAATCTGAAAAAAAATGTTGCTTTCAATATTAGTCTCTGACTTCAACCATATGGGAGCCGTATAGTCAACACTCTAGGCTCATTATTGAAGGGCTATCTTATTCTTGCTTCTATTTATGGATGAATTATATTCGATAGATATATACTATCCAGGTCCTTAATATATAAGAACTAGATGACTAATTTGAATAGATTAAGAAAGCTTGTTAAGTTAGTTATTTGTAATAAATAGGTGTTTTCTTTCCTAAAATATTCTTGCTAATCAATTGTATTAGCTAAAATTATCATTCTTACAAGGATTACCTTGAAAAAAATAGATAATTATAAGAGACAAAGTAGATTGGGGTCTTATATTTAGGATCAAAATAAAAATCAAACGAACTCTTATATTAAAGATCGGAGGTAGTAGACGGATAAGGATGATGATGATGGTGGCGGTGCATGTTACAGGTTTATTAATTAACATATATATTAATGAATTTGATAGATAAGGATGGTGGTGGTGATGATGAAATTACAAATTGTAAACAGAACAAGGACAAATTATTAAATCACCAATGCTATTCTAATGAGTTTTTGATGCAGATGTGTTCAAAATTCGAATCCGAGAGAGTATCAGGTATATAACTTGACACAACTCTGTTACCGATTAAACTATGTACTTGTTTTTTTTTTTTTTGGCTTTATTCTTATTTTACCATCAAGAATTCATTGGCCAGAAGCTGTGGCTGGTGTTCATTGCGATTTTAAACGTAAGATTCCAATCAAATTCATCTCATAAATTTATGATTCTTTTTAGAAGGAGCTTTGTAATGATATAAGCATTTAAAACAAGTGTTTCTTCTCATATGTTTACCTTTATACCATAAAATCACTCTTGAAAAGTTAATACAAATACTCCTTGAACAATTTCATTAAGGGAAAATTAATCTGACAGTCCTTCTAATTTTATTAGATGTTGAATTAAGTCCTTGTACTTTTATTTCTTTTTATTGGGTCCTTATAGTTTATTTAATTAAATAAATCAGTCCTTCCGTTGATACTTTTCCTACTCACTGTTAAACATTAATGACAGAAGATGACACCGCGTTGAAGAAGGTGTACAATGACAAATAACATTTGCTTTCTCTTCCCCCCCCTCGTGGCTCTCTCGTCTTTCGAGGCTCCATTTTTAACGAGTTCTACTTCTCATCACCATACTACCGCTCGTCCTCTCCAGTCTTCGCCAATCCACCCCACGTCCTCCATCTACTCCTCTTATCTCTCCAATCTTTATTCCTCATGTATGCAATAAGCCTTGTATTTGGGTAAGCTCTGTGTGTGCCTCTCTTGTCGGAAAACAAAGGGTTGGGCACCTAGTGAAAAACAGAGCAGCCATTGGTAAGCTTTGTTTTTTTTTTTTTTTGGCTTCTTGCAATCACTGCACGTCACATAAGAAATAGACTTTTTTTCTTATATTTTAAAGTAGTGTTTTTGAGATTGAAGTACCAATTCATTGTATTAATTTGCTTGATTGCCTTGCCCACATACTCTGTCGTTGTGAAACCATCTTATTGTGTATTATTGCTAAATTCACTAATGTTTTCCAATTTTCTAAGCACTGTGTTGGTAAGACAGTAACTACTGCAAGCCAAGGGTGGACCAAGATACTATGAATTAGATGGAAGAGAACAAAAAGCTCCGTGCGAAGTGAGTATATACCCTAATCCTATTTT